GGGAACATACACTAAAAATATGTTGGTTCTCCCCTTACCATGAAAACTTGGTTGATATGCCTTCTCTTCTTATAGACTTTTATTATGAAGTTAGTATCAAAAATCTTGATACAGTAAAAAATTTTGATAAAGAATTTCCCCAAAATGGATGGATGTGTCTATAAGTTCCTTGTAAAATTTGCGATAAAGTTTATTACTGTCAAACATGTTAAAATCTCGAAACTAGATTAAAACAACAAAAATATAGCATTAGAAACTGGACATGATTCCAAGGCTCTATTTATATGACAAGAGATTTTAACCATCAATTGATTTTTCAAAAAGTTGCTGCAGTAGTATCAGCAAGTCCATGGTCGACAGGAATATAATTGATCTTGTTCATAAATAAGCAGTTTTGCCAATAGTATGAATATTTCCTTTGGTTTTTAATAATTAGTATCTATTTATAATTAATAGAATTTGGGAAATGAAATTAATAATAATTGGACAAATAATAATATTTTTATTTCTTTATTTCTTGGGTAGTAGACAGTTTGTTGGGGGTTTAGTGTGAGGACCTGATTAGTTTCGGCCGGCGGGGCCTGCTGTCTCGCGCAGGTGTTTCTTTGTTGTGGGATCTGATAGTGAGGTGTGGGTTACCCTTTATATACCTTCCTTTGATGCCTTACTTTGATTGTTCCTTGACAATGTGAGTAGTCACGAGTAAGCTTGGAATTTCTCTATTTCTTTCACAGTGGTTGTTTTGCATATAAATATATATATATATATATATATATATATTTATTCTATATATTATAATATATATATATATATATATATATATATATATATATAAATATATATATATATTTATGTGTGTGTGTGTGTGTGTGTGTTCTTTATTATGTCACGAACTGTGAATTCTAATGGATTCTCAGATTATGGATAGAGAAAAATAGAGGGAAGGTGGGTAGAGTAGAGTATATGAAAAAAGGGAAAAGATACTTATTTCTCAATAATTTTTTTTGAAGCGTGTGAGATGAGACTCTCTGAGGTGTTGAACAAATGAAGAGGGGGCTGGTTTACATGCCCAGTTACGTAAATTTTATGCAATTGTAATAATTACTATGCCTAATGTTAAACAAAGCATCATATATCATTCATAACTCCTTGTTCTATGATTTTTATATACCCTGTGTGCAGACATTTTTTTATACGAGTTTTTTAAACTTAATTACCATAATACTTTTAATATTGGTTGAGCCACCTGGAACATAATTGGATCAGTCCATTTATGAGGACCTCCAGAATGTGTTCTCTTTAGACTGCCTGGAGTCCTCACACCCCATCAGCATCTAAGTGGGACAATCCGGTTGAGATCAATGTGATATTTTGTTTCGAATATAATTTCTACCAAAAAGAAGTATATTTCTGTACCTATTGACTTGGCTCGTTGTTAAGGGATTTTATTGGAGTAACGTTATATGAGTGTTCATAAAGACTTGTTTATAACTTATTAAGCATCAGTCAAGACTATCTTAATCTCTTAGATAGGAATTAAAAATAAACTTTCAGTAAAAAACTTTTTCAGATATTGCTTTTAGTATTTACAATAATACGTAGATTTTTTATTTTTCATGTATATATTATATATATATTATATATTATATATATTATTATATATATATATTATTTATTATATATATATATATATATATATATATTATATAATATATATATATATATATATATATATAATGTCGTGCCCGAATTATGTAAAAACTGATGGTCATTTAGCAAGAACTCTTTTTTAAAAATTAAATCCTTTCTAAAAATTTTCTTTTATACGTTTAAAGATATATTTTTTTTCATTAATGTTGATTTAAAAATTCATAATTTTGCACCATAAAAGGACGTAGAAAACTTACCAACCTTATTATAACAAGAACATATATTTTCGCCTAACCAATAAATTATATTTTGATTTGTTTACAGTTATTTATATAAACAAACACAGTGGAAGTGTATGTTTTCGTTAGGTTTCAGAATATTTTTGCGAATTATGCATACACAAATTTTCACTTGTCTATATGGCATGATTGAGCGTTGCTATTTAAGCCAAAGATCGCAAGTTCTGCCTATTCGGCACCGGACTATATATTATGATATATATATATATATATATATATATATATATTTATATATATATATATATATTATATATATATATATATATAGATATACATATATTTATATATATATATATATATAATATATTTATATTTATTTATATATATATATATATATATATATATGTATGCTATATTTATATATATATATATATATATTATTTCTATTTATAATAGATATAATATATATATTTATATATATTTATGTCGTGCCGATTATGTAAAATGGTAAATGAGCAAGAACTCTGTTAAATTAAGTCCCTTTCTAAAACTTTTCTTTTTTACGTTTAAAGATATATTTTTTTCATTAATGTTGATTTAAAAAATTTCATAATTTTGCACCAAAGGAACTTAAAAAATTTACCCATCCTTATTATAACAAGAAACAATTTATTTTAGCCTAACCCAACTAAATATATTTTAGATTTGTTTACAGTAATTTAATTATAAACAAACACAGTTTGAAATATATTTTTTTCGTTAGGTTCAGGAATGATTTTTTGGCGAATTATTGCATACACAAATTTTCCTTGTCCTATATGGCAAGATGAGCTTTTGCTATTTAAGCCAAAGATGCAAGTTTTGCCTTTTCGCACAAATATATATTATATATATATTTTTATTTTTATTTCACACCGGGGCCGATTCCCCCAAAGGGCAGGGGGGCCCGAAAAAGAAAAATTTACCATCATTCACCCATCCTGTCTTCCCAAAAGGGTGTTTTTACACACAGTTTTTAAAAAGCAACATTAACACCCCCCCTTCAAGTGCAGGCACGTATTCCCCTCTCCAGGACTCAAGTCCGGCCTGCCCGGTTTCCTGAATCCTTCATAAATGTTATTTGTACACTCCCAAAAGCACGTCAAGTATTAAAAAAAAAATTTTTCCATTATCCTTCAAAACGCCACCATGTGTGGAAGCCAAACCCCTCGCAACAAAACCTCTTTACCCCCCCCCCAAACCCCCCTTTGGCCGACCCCTACCCCCCCTTCCCCTTCCCCTACAGATGATAACTCTTGAAGTCATTCTGTTTGCTCCTTCTTCTACATTCCGAAACCCCCTCAAAACCCCCCTCAGCCCTCTGGACAACAGTTTTTTGGGAATCCCACACCTCCTCCAACTTCCAAACTACGAATTTCTGCTTATATCACACCACTTGCCCTCAACATGCATCTCCACTGCTCCCCTTCTCCTCGCTGCAACTTCTCACCCACGCTTACACTATAAGGCGTTGGTAAAACTATACCTCATAAATTCCCCTCTTTGCCTCCAAGGACAAAGTTTTTTGCTCCCAGCTCCTAATGCACCCCCACTTTTTTCCCTCATCAATTCTATGATTACCCATTTTCATGCCCCACCGGACACGCCCCCCAAATATCTAACCCTTAACCTCCTCCTACTCTCTCCCTCCAATTTTATTCAATCTTTATAACATCCTTTTGTTTTATAACCCCTCTTTCCTGTATTCACCTTTAATTTTTCTTTTGCACCCCTACCAAATTCATCCACCATTCTCTGCACTTCTCTTCAGAATCTCCCAAGAGCACAGTGTATCAGCAAAGAGAGCTGTGACAACTCCCACTTTGTGTGTGAATTCTTTATCTTTTAACTCCACGCCTTTGCCAAGACCCTCGCATTTACTTCTCTTACACCCATCTATAAATATAATTAACAACCACTCGGTGGACATCACACATTCCTTGTCTAAGGCCTACTTTTACTGGGGAAAATATTTTAACTCTTGCCTACATACATCTAACTGAGCCTCACTATCCTCGTAAAAACTCTTCACTGCTTTTCAGTATCCTACCTCCTACACCATACACTTGCAACATCTGCCACATTGGCCCCCTATCCACCTGTCATACGCCCTTTTTCCAAATCAATAAATAAGCCAAAAAGACCTCTTTGAGCCTTATTATAATTACTGTTCACTTATATGTTTCACTGTAAACTACTGGTCCACCCCACCACCCCTACCTTTCTAAAGCCTCCTTGTTTTCTCTGCTATCCTATTCTCCGTCTTACTCTTAATTCTTTCAAATAAACTCTACCATACACTTTACCAGGTAGATCAACTGACTTATCCCCCTATAATTTGACACTCTCTTTTATCCCTTTGCTCTTTATACAAAGGAACTATGCTGCTCTCTGCCAAGTCCCTATGTACCTTTCCGCATCCATACATTTATTAAATTAATTGCACCAACCACTCCAAAAATATATCCACTGCTTTAACATTTCTATCTTTATCCCATCAATCCGGCTGCCTTACCCCCCTTTCACGTTTACCTACTGCTCATTGAACTTCCCCACAACCCAACCAGGCTCTTCTCACTCACACAAGATGTTATTCCTCCTTGCCCTATCACGAATCACAGCTTACCTATCTTCATTCAACATTTACAATTCTCAAAAATATTCCTTCCAATCGTCCAATACCTCTAAACTCTCCATTTAATAATCTCTCCTCTCCCTATTTTTAACTGACAAAGCCATTTGTGCTTCTAGGCTCTTTCTTAAACTTGTTAATTCTCACTCCAAAACTTTTTCTTTATTTCAACAAAATTTGTTGATAACATTCTCACCCACTCTTCATTTGCTCTCCTTTTACATTGCTTCACCACTCTCTTAACCTCTCCTTTTTCAATCCTTTACTCTTCCTCTTGCATCACTTTACTTTGTAAAATACTTCTCATATGCTAACTTTTTCTCCCCTTACTACTCTCTTTACTTCATCATTCCACCAATCGCTCCTCTTCCTCCTGCACCCACTTTCCTGTAACACAAACTTCTGCTGAACACATCTAACACTACATTTTTAAACCTTACCCCATAACATCTTCGATCCCCATTGCCTATGCTCTCATTAGCCATTTCCTCATAATGCTGTTATATCCTTACCTAACTGCTACTCTTTTAGTTTATAAACCTTCAACTCTCTCTTCCTGATTGCTTCTATTCTACTTGTATACCATCTACCTTTTACTCTCAGTGTCGCTACAACTAGAAAGTGATATGATATATCTGTGGCCCCTCTATAAACATGTACATCCGGAAGTCTACTCAACAGTCTTTTATTACCATACATAATCCAACAAACTACTGTATTTCGCCCTACATCATATCGTGTATACTTATTTATCTTTTTTTCTTAAATTTGTATTACCTATAACTAAACCCCTTTCTATACAAAGTTCAATCAAAGGGCTCCCTTATATTTACACCTGGCACCCACAAACTTACTACCACACCCTCTCTAAAAGTTTCTCCGACTTTAGCATTCAAGTCCCTTACCAGAATTACTCTCTCACTTGAGTTCAAAGGCTTCCCTATACCATTCACTTAACTCTCCCAAAATCTCTCTCTCCTCTGCCATTCCTCTCTTCTCCAGTGTTGCATACACGCTTATTATGACCACTTCTCGATCACCTTTACTTTAATCCACATAATTCTTGAATTTACACATTCATATTCTCTTTTCTCCTTCCTAATGATCATTTAACATTACTGCTACCCCTTCCTGTGCTCTAAACTCTCTCAGATACTCCAGATTTATACCATTTGTTGCCCTCACATGAAACTCTCCTACCCCCTTCACTTTTGTTTCGCTTAGGGCCGGACATCCAACTTCTTTTATTCCATAACATCAGCAATCATTGTTTATGGCATTCCGCACTACATCCACGCACAATTTAAGCAACCCAGTTTTTATAGAAGTTTTTCTTTCTTCTCTTTTTTTAGAAAATTGTATACAGGAGAAGGGGTTACTAGCCATTGCTCCCGGCATTTTAGTTCGCCTCATACGACACGCATGGCTTACGGAGGAAAGACTTCTTTTCACTTCCCCATGGACATAGAGAAATAAAAAAGAACAAGAGCTATTTAGAAAAAGGAGAAAAAACCTAGATGTATGTATATATATTTATATGCATGTGGGGTCTGTGAAGTTGTGACCAATGTGTAAGTAGGAAGTAGCAAGATATCCACTGTTATTTAGCGTGTTTATGAGACAGAATAGAAAAAGAAACAAGCAATCCTACCATAATGCAAAAAATTAAAAAAAAAAAAAAAAAAACAGTTACAGGTTTTGTTTCATCGTAATCTGGCAGGACAGGGACGGTAGTACTTCCTGGGTGGTTGCTGTCTACCAAAACCTACGCCCTATTATATATATATTATATATTTATAATATATATATATTTATATATCAATATATATATATATTTATATATATGTTTAATATATTTATTATATTTTATTTATATTTATATTATATTATATATTTTATATATATATATATATAATATATATTTTATATTTATATAGATATTTATATATTATATATATATATATATATATATATTATATGTATGTATATATATATATATATATATTTATATATATATTTATATATTTATAATTATATATATATATATATATTATATATATATATTATTATATATGTCGTGCCGTATATGTTGAAATGGTCAATTAGAATGAACTCATATAGAATTAAGTCCTTTCTTAATATTTTCTCTTATACGTTCAGAGATATGTTTTTTTCTTTAACGTTGATGTAAATAATTATAATTTTTGCACCAAAAGGAAACTTAGAAAACTTAACCTACTTATTATAACAGATCAATTTATTTTAGCCTAACCATCTAAATATATTTTAGATTTGTTTACACGTATTTAATACTAAACAAATACAGTGACACATAAATTTTTTTCGTTAGGTTCAGAATGATTTTGCGAAATATTGCATACACAAAATTTTCACATGTGTTATAGGCAAGATTGAGCGTTGCTATTTATGCCAAGATCGCAAATTTGCTATTCGGCAGACATATATATATATTTATATATATATATATATATATATATATATATATATATATATATATATATATATATATATATATATATATATATGTCGTGACCGAATAGGCAGAATTGCGATCGGGCTTAAATAGCAACGCTCATCTTGCCATTATAGGACAAGGCGAAAATTTGTGTATGCTATATTTCGCCAAAATCATTCTGATACCTCAACGAAAAAAATGTATTTCACTGTTTGTTTGTTTAGTATTAAATTTTTGTAGACCAAATCAAAAATATATTTAGTTGGGTAGGCTTAAAATAAATTGTTCTTGTTATTAATAAGGTTTGTAAGTTTTCTAAGATGC